TTCATATAAAATGTGCTTTTATTTTGAAAAACTGCAAAGGGGACTTCCGCTACATTGTAAAGTTACGGGAATAAATAAATACAGCTAAAAGAACAACCAAGAGGAGAAAATGTTACGCTTACGTTGTTTTGTGAGGTGGATTTATCTTAAAAACATCTGTTTGAGTGACTAACTCTCTTTCAGGAGGATGCTACATGTAGCATGTTTCCATTTGTTAGCTCTGAGCTCTGACTCAGACAGTGATGAGTGACAGGAGTATTAAATATACGTAACTTTACCTTGCTGCAACTGTAACCAAACAGCTATGATTGGCTTAATTGTCACTTAATAAATCTTACTTGACCAATAGGTTTTCATCAATGACTCCACTGGTAAAAAGTCAAAAAGTGTGGGGGATGAAAATACGTTTCAGTGAATGTGACACCCACAACACCGCAACACCCACAACAACCACAGGTGAGAATGCGCCTGCACACGCTTGATTCACTCCTATACCTCTGACGTTGATTTCACACACTTTTACAATTGTTTGTAAATTATTCCGCGGACCCCCAAGTTATGGTTCGCTGACCCCTGGGAGTCGTGGGACCCCACTTTGAGAAGACTTGTTTACAAGATTCATTTCTTCAAATTCAATTCAAAAGGGTTCAATAAAAACACATGGGATGTAACAAACGTCTGAAAGACAAGTCAGAGATTTTTAGTGTAATGAAACAATTAGTCAAATGAGATTTACTTTCTGAAGGAAATAAGGATCTATAAAACACTAAGGATAAATGAAGGTGCACTACATAATAACTAAAATAGTACAAAACCCACCTTACCAGTGCTGAACTGCCATCAGATGTGAAGGTCAATAGAGTGAGTGCTAAAGCTATTATAATCCTTCTCATTACTCAAAGGCCGTGGCCGTGGCGAGCCCTCAATCTGCATATTTCACCAAGGTGGTTTGTAACTCGGCTGTAGATACTCCAACCTGATCAAACCTTCACATGTACCTGAACATAATCACATGACATTATTTTTACTATTATGATTCATTATTTTAATTCCACCTGTCAGTGTTCATAATCTCATGGCTGGTCGGTTTATCTTCCAGGGGATTCAGTAGACCGGTCCTACCTAAAGGGGCTTGGTTTAAAAACATTGGAAGACTAAATCTTGAGTGAGGAGCTTCAGAGTTTAACATTTTATTGTGCAAAAATCCATTTAAGCCCAATCATGAATTAAAGAACAGGACTTCTCAGCATCTCATGAGATGTGTCATGATCTGAAATATAACACAGACTAACAGATCCAAGATTTGATCAACAGGTCAGAAGAATTTTGTTAGATTTGCTTTTCTTTTCATTGAGAAACCCAAGAGAATCAAATGATTGATCTGACTTAGTGAATACAGAAACTTTTTAAAATTTTAATATGGCCTTTTTATTTGAAATCAGCTTATTTCACTCCTGCCTCACATGTGCAAGCTTTGTAAAAATGCAACAGCAAAGCTTCCAGCCAAATGCTTAGGCCAAATTTAAGCGTTGAGTGTCGAGGTGAGAAAAGGGTGGCTTGATAGTTTTGAATGAGTCTTCTTAAAGCTGTCTGGAGGCTGAGAGAAAAAAAGGAGAGTGGGAGAGTTTGGGATGTTCTTCTTTTTGCTTTTCCATTTGTTTCAGTGGATTCAAAAAAGTGAGTTTGCAACTATCTGCAGTTCATACCACTGCAACATCGAATACAAAACCCTACCACAAAGGAAATGATATCAATCATTTGACTTTAGAGGAGGAGGAGTATATGTATGTTAGACTTGAAACCGTTGTGATCAAACAAGAATAAAAGGAATACATTTAAAATGAATGACAGAAATCGACACACAGGGACAGCAGACTGTGTTAAGTCACCTGATAGCCTGCAGTCTGCTGCAAAGGATTCTCTTTATACTGACAGGGATTTTCAAGTCAGTAGGGAGTTTTGTTGATAAGCTGTGAACCTGCTTTGAATATGAATTATTTCAGCCTGGGCAGAAAGACATAGGTGGCTCATTTACACTGACTTAGCTCATTGAAGGGTGTGCGGTTTGGAATATTTTTGCATGACATTACATCGTTTTCTGTAAATCAGCCTTCACTCACTATTAGAAAGACTGAGTTGATGGTGATTTATCAGAACGCTGCCATTCTCAGCTTCCAAAACAGCAAAAGCCTTCCAAATCTCAAACAGTATCTATTGTCTATAAGTCCAGGATTACCCTGAAAGCGTCCATTTTTTAATATACTGACTGAGGCACTGCTTGCAACAGACAAGAAACATGAATTTACGTTTAATTTGGTTAAAGGAAGAATGTGCCAATTTTTGAACCAGTAGATTTTGCTCTTGAGCAACAACATTAAACCAACACAAAGTGCTGTTTGGTGACATCTGCTCTATTCTGAAGCCTCCACTCTCCTCCAGTGACTCACCTCCAACCCAGGTGTAACCTCCGGTCTTGAATGAAGCCAATGTGGAATGCAAACTACCAGAAGTCACACACACACAACAGGCAAAAAAGCAATTTTTACAGCATAAATAAACATGTTTACAGCCTGGTTCAAAAAACAAATAGGTCTGAGTAGTTATTGTCGTACCTGGCACACAATGTACGGGGGGTGAATTGGTTTTAAAGGGCTCAGTTTTGATTTTGAAAACGATACGTGTTATCCATAGCTAGGCGTGTAGCTGACATGATTGAGGTGGGCTCGATGTAACGGTTGGTCAAGAGGCTTCAAACCCGCCTCTGCTCCAGCTCTCAGCCTGTCGTTAGGTTGACTGAATGTTAGGCTGACTGAATGTTAGGCTGAGACAGGATTTCCAGCATGGTGGCGGCTGCCGATGAGCCTCCAGAGCCTTCCCCTGACGTCACTCAGGCTTCGTCCATTAATATTTAGTCAGTGGATACATCATAATCCAAATAAGCAGTGAGTAGACTATGTGATACTTATTTTCTCTAGTCATTGACTAAAACAGCTTTATAACCACGGTTGTACAGCTGGTTGGACTCAGGCTTCTCACTCATTGTAGACAGTCATGACTCAGAGATACATTCACAGAGGATATACTTGATTTCTGCTTTATTCGTGTCTAAAATGTCACACATTCTTCCTTTAAAGTCACAATTTTTTTTTCCCGTGATTTTTTCCAAATAGCTTGTGCTTTCCAAAACATACATGTATAGTCTCAGTGAAGCCACCAGAAGGTTTATGAAGAGCTGTTTTGAAGCCCAATAATGGCCGTCAATACAGACTCCAACTAACTTCCGGCTAATTGAGAAGTAGGCAAATGAGCCAAATGAATCTTTGTTCTTGACGGAATTTAGCAGAAGTTTTGGTGTACCGTCCCTTGTCGAGTCCAAATACATAAATAATGATCTGTAGGTGAATGTAAGGGACCAAGCAATCAGGCAAAGGACAAAGGTGTAATAAAAAGAGCAAATTTGCTTTAATTAAGTTGAGAAAATCAGTAACAAAATTGATCAATGTATCTAAAATCAAAAAGAGGTCAACTTATAGAATAAGGAATGATTCAACCTTCCAAAACATAACAACAGACCTAACATCAACTTACACAAGTGGGGTTAGATACACAATGGACTAGTCCAATATAAATACAAAGGGGAGGGGGGGGGACCAAATTGACTACAAACTTAACAGCTATAACAGAATTTTCAAAGAATTGAATTATCTTGAAAAAAGCAATTGAAATAAAGAGAAACAGATCTTTTTTTGGAAATCATGAGTCTGAGGCAGGGCTTAAAAGTCTATCTTTGAATGGCAGCGGGCCTTTTGTCAGAGGATCAGGGCAAACAAACAAAATGAAAGATAAGTTTTACTCAACCATTAAAACAAATGAAATCATGTGACTCAATGTTAACTAAATTGGTTGCATCCAAATTAGGAAACAACTGTTATGAATGCAATATGGGGCAGCTGTTTAGGGACTTGGGTTGGGAACCGGAAGGTCGCTGAAGTTCTGGTGCAGATTTACTAAGATCCCAAGTAAAGAGTGCTAAATTGCGTGTTCACTTCAACAAATTGCATGTTTGGTTAATGTGCGATTTGCGTGAATGACAACAGGTGCAAACCTTGTGGAGGCAATAGTATTTAAGTTAGGCTTTTGCGTGTTCTACTGGTTTACATCATGGATAGTTTGGACAGAAAGCAGGATAACTGCAAGTGCAAAATAGGTATTAGTAGAAGCAGCAAATAAACACACAATACTTTAGAGTTATAGCAGATAAATCTGAATATTACAAAAAGAAAATTTGGCTTATAAGAAAACCTCGGCATTAAACAGGGCCTCTCTTTTCTTCCCTTAATCTTAAGAATGAAGTGTCATACATTGAGCAGGAGGTCTGAGCTGTCTCCTCTGTGGCTCCCAGGCGTTACACTTGGGCCGTTGTTGCGCACCAGACATCTGGCCAGCGCTGTGTCTGATCGGACATAAATGTCCTGGAAAGAGGTATCGAAGACGGGGGTACAAACAGTGGTGAGGTCCCCCAATCCAAGCGTCCTACAGAGTAGCAGCAGCGGGCTTTAGAGGGAGGTGACGAGCGCATTATGGAGAGGAGCACACCAGAGGAGACGAGCTGGGGAGAGACACGCAGCCCGAGAAAAAGGAAATCCCCAATTTAAAATGTAATGTTGGCGAAATGAAGGAAATAAGAAGACATAAATGTCAATGTTGAAATTCTTTAGAATGCAGAGGCTGTGAGTGTTCAGTTTTGTTTGGCTATAAATAGGCAACAATATAGTTTAATCATGGTCTTAAACATGTTAACATGTGTGGAGAAAAACGCGATCTGTAGGCCTTCTTTTGATTGTGTCTATGTCTCTTCCTTTTTCTAGGGCAGAAATGCCCCATATTGCATATTCATTAAGGCAAACGTACTAAATGGACAATGAGCGTTGTTTTGCTCATATGGAAGACGCAATCCTTTGCCGTTAGTAGATCAGACAGCACTGTTTTTGCGGCTGGTATCAAGTTTGCACACGTTTTAAGACACGCAAACCTTTAGTAAATCAGGCCCTAAGAGCGCTAAAAACAAAATATGCAAAAGTCTATAAGACAGGAGCACAAAATACCAAATCTGCTTCTTCATCTGTTCACCTCCATTGATATAACATATTCACCTCCTTTTCAAGTTGAATAACTCGGGTATCCATGGCCATGTCCCTTTCTCGTTTCCAAATCCAATGAAGGATGCAGATGGTCACTGCACACGCCAGTATTGTACACATAGCTTCTAAGCTGACACTTTGGCCACTCAGGATTAAAACAGGAACAAACAAAGCTGCTCTAACATTCACTAGCCACCTAAGAAAGAAGGTGACCAGCAGAAGGATGAAGTTGGTCATCTTGTAGCAAAGGAAAAGAAGAAGAACACGCAGGACAACTGATGTGACCTGATCTATTGTCATTTTTTTGTCTCGATGGTCGGCTGTGGAGACATGCAGGTGAGAAGCTTGTATCATTAGCAGGAATGAGAAAAAGGTTTCATGTAAAAGCAAAAAGCGATAACATTTTTCATTCTAAGACATTACCTTCCTGGCCATGCTTCAAGTGGTGAATTAAAATGACTCTGAATCTGAGGGACTGATACCAAGATTATTGGTTCATGTCTGTCAGCACCGGGGTGAGCATCCAATGAGGATGGTAGATGCACAAGTCTCAAAATTTATTAACAATTTTTTTTTTAATAAAGTCAAGATTTAAAAAATTGACTTTTATTTTGGATCTCAGATTTCAGATGATTTGGCTCTTAAGTGTATTTAAGACCATTTAAGACCACACAAAGTAATTTGTTCAGTGAGAAAAATCTGTTGGTTCTCCTTTAGCTGTACTCTTGTGATGCCATTATGCTCAACACTGGCAGCGACCTCCTGATGAGAGGGGGGCCTGAAGCTCAAACTACTTAATGCGGTCATGCTGACTGTCAGTAAAAGGTTTGAGTTTATTGACTATACTAAGGTTTTCCTGCATTAACTATGAATGAAATATATTAGTTTGGAATTTTTGCTGAGTTAGTTAAAAGAAACGACTAACCTGTTTATGAACACTGATATTTTCACATTACATATTTATTTCACAAATTGCAATTAACTTGAGCTGAATGTTCTATGGGAACTGCATGACATAATAAATTATCTTTACCTTGGATGCCAACAACCTGCAGGAAGCGTTTGTGAGCGTGTAAGAGCATGTCCAGAGCACAACAACTTACAGCCAGAACCAGCAAGACAAGGAGCTCCAAGAACTGGATAAACACAGAAAATAAAACCTTGATTAATAAAGGTTGTCACATACATAGTGTACATGTCTGCAATTGTCTCACCTTTAAGGGATTCAGACAATGTGATGAACAATGAAGTAACATGTTACAGTGAGGTTCATAGCGACTAATATCTGAGTCGGTTAAACAGAAATTTTGATTAAGACTAGTTGACTAATCTAAAGGTAAGCAAACAAAATCACTTCTAGCTCCTCCAGATGCTATCAATTCACTGTGCTGGTCTAGCTAGTGCTACAGTTTAGACACATCATTTGAACGGCATTGTGGGCCAGCATATGAAATTATTAATCATTTGTTTAACCGACTAGTGATCCTGGTATCTACTTAACTTTTTATTTAGAAGAAGAACAAGACCTACTTTGTTAACCCTTTAGGGGAAATCCAGTTTTTCACACTGTTATTGGACGGGCTTCAGACCAGGAATAAACAAATACACATGTACAAACACAATCCAATGGACATGCATTAATGGAGAGATGTCAGCGTGAGGGGCTGCACAAGAAAGAGTGCCCAAGCAGTTGAGGTATTAGTGCCTTGCTCAAGGGCCTTTTGGCAGTCCTCAGGAAGTGACCTAGTACCTCTCCAGCCCCCAGACCAATTTCTAGATGATGATTCGTACTTAGGCTCCAGACCCAAGTCTGTCTCCAAACGGGAGCAGCAACTGAGTCTCCAATGTCGATGTATTTATCATATTCTTTACAGACAATGGATGTTTGTTTGTTTTTGTTTGATAAAGTAACAGTTGGTAAAGGAGCTGCAGGCAATCAGGATGTTCATGTTTTCATTGACCTCGTAAATGCTTTTCTATGTTAACATACAATATGGCCAGCTAATTATATCACATAATGGTGTGTTGCATAACAACTCTGGATATGTACAGCTGACTTATTGTTTTTAGTTACTTTAAAGAATGGAGTTTCGAAACAGTGACTGTTTAAAGTGTCTGCACGCGACCTCTACGATCTCCGTGCTCTAATTAAACATCTGCATTATGTTTTCTGTTCGTCAGTATGTTGTTCTCCTCTCTTTTGTGGATGTTGTCATTCCATTGGATTACACAGAGCATTGATATAAAGACAAATATTCCCATTATAACGTTGTGTAGCGGACACTGTTGCTTACTTCCACATTGTTCTTTTACGTCACGTCTTACCTCAGGAAATCCCTCGCCCCCTCCCCTCTGACAGGGATAGCCCCCCCTTCCCCTCTGACAGGGATAGCCCCCCCCTCCCCTCTGACAGGGATAGTCCCCCGCTGTGAGGAGCATATGTGAACAGCTAGGTTGGGAGAATCTCCGAAGCGGTCCTCCTGTAATTATCTAGATATTATCCGGAGTGCATATGTGAAAACAGCTAGGGATAGTCAAAAAAGATTCAAATACGGCGTAAGGAGCGTCTGTCTATCTCCAACCTGTTGCATCTGCCATCTTACCTCAGCCTTTATTTCCAACCGCAGTTTCTCCATTCGATTCATCATGAGACTTATCGCCAACAAACACTCTGAACCAGAACAATCCCAAACTTTCAGTTAGTAATTCCCAACTTGTCAGGTCATGCAGCTGTACACTTAAGCATGAAGCAGCAAAGAAGGACACACTTCCTCAAAGTGTATCAGCTGATAGGTCCTCCACCTAGAAAAGGAATGCATTTGACCTTTGATCCACCTCTTTGAGAATAAAGGGTGTGGCCCTGATACACACGATTATTAAGACTGTGTTGTCTCGTGGTGTTATTTGAGTTATCTGCCTAGACTGGTTTTATTCTGCGTCACAGTGATAAGGAAACACATTAAGAACAAGTAGAGAGACTTGTTGTAGGACTTTCACACTTGCAGAAATCTAATGAAAACCTCAATATATTTTTTCCGAAGCAGCTGTATGTGTGAACGCAAACAGTCAAATTTTTCGCTCGGACTTCACGCGGAGTTTCTCCTGCAAGACCCCTTGTATTTTTTCCGCAGCAGGTCTGAGTGGGCTGATGTGAGAATGCAGCAGGATATTCTCCGGAGAATTCAACTCAGCCAATAGGGGGGAGGTGGGGGGGCAGTGAAGTTTCTATACTGTGACTGCTGCACGGTGCATAGAGTGTCTGTAAGCAACCACTACTATCTCTGTGCACATAATTAAACGGTTGCATGTATGTACAGTATGTTGTTCTCTGTTCTTTTGTTGATGTTGTGATTCTGTTGAACTACACGTAGCATTGATATAAAGGTAGATATTGTCATTATAGTGTTGTTTAGCGGACTCTGTTACTTCATCTGCTACTTGCTGCTGGAGACCCCCCTCCCGTCTGACAGAGATAGTATCCAGCTGTGGGTAGCATGTGTGAACAGCCAGGTCAGGAGAATCTCCAGAGCAGTCCTCCCGAACCTCCTGACTAGCGCCAGTGCTCTGATCCGTGCTCAAGCATGGCACACTTCCTTGGCCCTGGCATGCTTGGAAGAGGTGTGCTTCAGCATGGTACAGTTTATACCCAAGCACAAGCACAGGTACACAATGCTGGCAGCCTTTATTATCTAGCGATCCCGGAGTGTTCTGACTGTATCCGACTAAAATGACTCAAAATAAGCCACAAAGTCAGTAAAGTATGTGTCATGTTCTCTGTGTTGTTCTCTGATGTGCTGACGCGGACTTGACAGCACATCCCTTTTATTTATTTATCTCAATACCGTCTGTCTTGTAAACTAAGGACGCTTCATGATCACGTAGAGACATGCATGTGTTGTTTTACGACCTCATGTACAAGAGGTAACCGGTTCAGGCCCGGTTAGTCCTGGAGCAGTGTGAGTGAAGGCCAGCGGGGGAATGGGGAGGGGGGGGCAGTCGTGCTTAAGCGGGACAAACAGACCTGATGTGGTCACTGTGGTCCCGATCAACCTGTTCTCTCCTTTTAACTCAGCTCCTGTGTTCCCACCTTGCCATCTCTTCTACAAGACTTTTCCATCGACTATGCCATCAATTTCTTTCAATCCCTTCAGTTCCTCTGTTACATTATAATGATTATGTCCCTTTTCTGCTCTCTTTCCCCTCCCCTATCTCTATTCCACACTGTGCAGCATGTGTGAATCTGTCTATTCACAACGTCCGCTGAGAGAGCAATTAACCTGATCAAAACTTGCTGGTGCTGAGATCAAACATGTCTCACTAGGGGAGGGTTGGAAAGAGAATCAGAGAGAGAGAGAGAGAGAGAGAGAGAGAGAGGGGGGAGCAAGTGGGAAACCGAGAAATCAGAAGAGAGGCAGAAGAGAAGAGAGTTCTGAGGTGAAAGGGAGGGAAAGTTGGACAGGACCATCTGGCAGGACCTTCAGGTGGTCATCAGTGTGAAAGTGTTCGTTCAAACAGTTTTTAAATAGCTGAGTGACTCATTGATCTTCTCATGCACACACCTCCCACCCCGGCTCATCGGACCCCAGCACGCCGGCTGCTGCGATCTCATCTCAGCCCCTCTCGCCTGTGAGGGATTAAACTCTTAATCCTCCAGACTGAGGCTTGCTATTAGTACCAACAAGGCTGCAGCTATCTGTGTTTGTTTTCTGATGTGTGTGTGTGTGTGTGTGTGTGCTGTCGTCTGTTGTACTGCATGGCGGTGTGTGTGAGATGGATGGTTAGCAGCTGCAGGTATGGGTGTGTGTGAGATTAATAAAATATAATAAGGCAGGGACACAGAGAGTGTGCTTGAGGTGGTAAACACATAAATAAGTTAGCTTTTTTCAACGTTGGCGGTGTTCCCCATCTACCAACTATGAAAAATCCAGACGTGTGTGTGCGTGTGTTTGTCTGTATGTGTGTGATAGAGTATGAGAAAATGACAGACAGAATTAAAAAGGCATATTGCATTACTGTGTCAGTGAGGCAGATTGCAGCGCACATAATCCATTCAGCTGTGACTGAAATGTCGTCTCCTTTGTGAGATGAAAAAAAAAAATAAAGAGTGAAAACTAATAGCCAGTGTGTGTGTGATCAGTCTCATGTTGCATACACTAACCAGCCCCGGGCATATGCTGCACTGCAGGTTAATGAATAGTGATGGAGGGATTCAATAAGCAGAACATGTACGTTCTCAGCACACACACACACACACACACTGTGACCCCCACCTCTTCAGTTTCCATCTCTCCCCTCACTAATGTGTTGTCTGTTCCGTTAGCAGACGTAAGGACCTGGACAAAGTGTTTGCTTGTTTTAGCAGTTCCCTCCCTCAGGCGAAGGCGACCTAATGAGCTGCCTCTCAAGGACAAAGTGGATGCAAGAGGCCAGCGACGCAGACAAATCTGCAAGCATAATGACAATTTTTCCTAAGAACTTTCACCTGCATGGTTGAAATGTTTAGTTCCAGCCTTGCGGAGGTAGGTATGATGTAAAAGCAGGTGTTGAAATGGACCAGTCATGGAGTTCAAAGTCCGGGCTGAACACCGAGGTCTGTTTACTTGAAAAAGAGCAACTAGTTTGACCAGCTGTTGGGTGTCACAGAGATTTATCACTGCCCTTTCTACTTCTATTTTCTCCGGCATCCTTGGTGTTCATTTTGTCTTTATTTCAGTGTCCTGCCACACACATCAGGCTGATCCTACAAGGGCTTTGCATGACACTGCTATTGAATATAACATCCAACTTTTCATTTTATATTCATGAAAACAAACAATAAAGGAAGAATGAGCGACTTTTTGATCCAGTAGATATCGCCCTTGAGCGCCAGCATTAACACCCAAACAAACCACTGTTTGGGACACCTCCTCTATTCTGAAGCCTCCGCTCTCCTCCAGCAACACACCTCCAACCCCTCTCAGCTCGCGCTCGCATGAAGGAGTTGTCAATTAGAAAGCATCATAATTAAGCACCATTAAGCGCAAGTGACGGACGGAATTGTCCTTTGCTCGATATGATTGCCTGTGTCCTGCATTGTTGTGTTTGCAGGCTAATGTTAGCGCTCTTTGGTTAACTAGCTTCATATTGCACATAAAATGACACAGAATGACCGTTATATAAAGACACTTACATGACATCCACATAAGAAGTGAGTATGTTATTCTTCTTTTCTCTAGCGCTTGACTAAAACAGCTTTATACACAAGGCCGTCCCGTCCATGTAAACATGATGTAAACATGGCTCCTATAGCAAACACAGCCAGCGGGACTCTGGCTTCTCACTCATTGTAGACAGTCATGACTCAGGGAGACATTTAGGATATACTTGATTTCTGCTGTATTTAAGTGTACAGCCTTCTGCACATTCTTCATTTAAAGGCTTAATATGTGATTTTTTGATCCAGCAGATGTCACCCTTGAGCACCAGCATGAAACCAAAACAACTTGCGCTGCATTGTTGTGTTAGCATGCTAATGCTAGCGATCTTTATGATGCTCGTATCTTCACACTGCATGTAAATTTACCTGAAATGAGCGTGATCTAGAAACACAGTTAAGCAGTGAGTACAGTATGTTATTCTTCTTTTCTCTAGTCCCTCAATTAAACAACTTTTATACACGAGGGGAGGAGTCAGCCGGCCGTCCGGGCGATGTAAACAAACTGAAGATAGGACTCTGAAAACATCACAGACAGTGGGACTCGGGTGTTACACCCATTGTAGACAGTCATCACTCACAGAGTTATTTTCAGAGGATATACTGGATTTCTATTACATTTAAGTGTGAAAAATCACATAAAGCCTTTAAGTACTAACTCATTATTTCAAATTTACTCATTTGTATGAAAAGTGCTGCAAGCCTATGATTCGTCATGACAAAAGGCTGTTGGTCCTCTCACATTCTTAATTTCTCCAAGTAAGTAGCCGACGTTTAAACGTTTTAGCTCTTTGCATCCATGTTCCCAAAAACAGTTAGCTTTTCAGTAAAAAGGACAACAGAAAACATTAATGTAATAATAGTAATAACCGGAATGTTCTCTGTTAAGTTACATTTACGCAAATAAAATGTGTTATGACCAGGTTTATGCAGGACACATAAACAGAGGGGTTGATTGGTAATGAGGTTTATTGTGGCAAATGGAGATGAAGATGGGTTGAAGATTCTAGAGGTTAGCAGAGTGAAGGGGATGACGGCTGACCAGACCAGAGTAGGGGTGTGAGTGCGGCTGAGCAGTTTTGAGTCCAGAGAGCAGGTTGAGGCAGATGGCTGAGCAGGAAGGCAGGTGGGTGACTGGTGATCCTGAAGCAAAAGAAAAAACAGGGTGAGACTCAAAAACCAAAACAAGCACAAAAGATTAATTTCAAAGGTTTTTTCAAAATCTTAATTTAGCCTGAACCGTAGTCTACCGCAGTAGTTGATACAACGATCTGGCGATGAGTGGATGGAGAGCTGGTGTGCAGGTGAGAGCAGGTGAAAGGACAGAACCTCAATCAGGAGGGAGCCAGAGTGAGAGAGCCATGACAAAATGTGTGTATCGTCTTCATATTACATCAAGTTTGAACACTTATAGCCTGGTAAAATATCAGACCACTGGGCGCATATGGATCTATACTTTTTGTAAACAAAAAGTGATTGTTTCCTGTTCCATGCTGCTCAGTTAAAAGGCGTATTGACATCATTCTCAAACTGTATGTGAGAATCGACTCAGATCCCTCCCTGCAGTCTCAGAAACAGCCTTAAAATGTAATTTGGGAGGTAACCGCGCCCCCTGTTGCGAGTGAAGCGTGAAGAGTAGGAAACATGGACGAGAGCTTTCTCCTCAGTGTCCTTGAAATTCATATAATCGTAGAGGTAATGGGGAGTGAGTACTGTCATTCACACAGCTCATGTAGCTCTGGTAAAATGTCATCTATCTTTCATTTACTCCTCGTCATAACTGCGCCTGTTTATACCTTCACGCGTAAACTTGAACTTGAGTACCGGTAGTCTTCTCTGTTGCGCACCGCGGCTCTGACTCCCCCCTCCCCTGCTCCTCCTCCTCCTGCAGCAGCAGCAGCAGCAGCAGCAGCACTAACTGAGCTGTAACGGGACACTTTCGGCGCACCAAACCGTCACCCGCCGCCTCCATCACTAGTGTGCTCAGACTCTCTGCGCGCCTTCCACGGACTGGGATGATGCGGACGCAGGAGATGCATCCCTGTTATTACACCATGTGGCGACTGGCAACGGTTGACAACCGGATTTGGTGTTAAATGATCAGCGGAATTGCGAGACGGCAGCGGAATGTGTCACCATTTGGCGCTCTGGTGAGGAGTAGGGGGCTCTGGATGGTAAGCTGCACCTCATAAGTTATAATGACGCCGCTGTGGTTCGTGTCTGTTGCTGATTATTTTTCTATGAAGTTATAATGTTGTCACGGTACTTTAAGGAAGGATGCTGGTGTATCTAAATGCTGCATACACTGCAACATACTGTAGGATGGGACACATTTTAACTATGTTTATAAATCATTGTTCCCAAAAAGTTAAAAACATGATTGCATGACATTTAAAACATTTAAGTAACATTGTACTGATGTGTGACTTCACCCTGGAGAAAGGATTTGACCTGACGCGTCCCATTACAGGTTTTCTCTCCACGACATCATTACACGATTTGTGTAATGAGCACTTAATTAATACCCTCTATTAATCAAGCCTGTTTAGAGGAAGCTCGTTGAGGGCGCTTAACAAGTACGGGTAACCTGCTGTGGCAAGTTGGTGAGATCGAGAGAGAGAGAGCAACTCGAGTCCCTCCACCCGCTCCTGGCAAATACAGTCACTGTTGACTTGGCCATAAATATATTATAAGCTCTGAGTGAATGCTGAATACAGTATGATCTTGTCAAACAAAACATCCCAATGTAATCAAAAATAAATCAAAAAAAGAAAACATTTATTGATTTGCTTTTTTCATAGGCTACTTTAAAATAACTTTGTCAATTATTCTGCAAAAAATAAGTCAACCTTCACATCTAATCAAACTCCAGATAAAAAGAAAACAGTTTACTTTTAGCTCCTGCAGACATCCTCTCTCTCTCTCTCTTTCTCTCCTGTCAGTCAGTTTTGCCCTGTGGAGAACCAGAGTGGGGTCGAGCGAAGCAGAGAACACCAGTGAGCTGCTAAAAAAAACACCTACTTCAATTAACTTTCCACCAAGAAAAACCAGCCACATCCACAGGGAATACAAATCGATTAATAAATAGTTTATCACACGCTCCTCCCTCTGTGAGGTGTAAATGAAACCCCAGCACGGTGACAGAAGTGATGTATTGGTTCCTCCAGTACAGGATCGGATTGTCCTGGATCTGAATTAGTGATGCATGTTGGTGCGGTGCAATGCTTCAAACTGTCTGTGCTGTTCACTCACACATTTAATAAGGCTGTGGTTACTGTAGATAAAGACCCAGCAGAACAATCTCGACTGTGATGATAATATTATGTCATAAAGGCTGTAGTCAGCAGAATAGAAGTGCTACTGTACCTCTGACTCCGGGGTGGGGAGTCAGTGCGAGTCACAGTGACTGATGAGTGATGTATGAATAAGTGCAGGGGAAACATGTACATACTCATGCATTTAGAAAAGCCCTGATTTGCCCTTGGAGAGCCTGGCTCACCTGAATTACGCTGCCAGGTGTAGGAAATCTATTACAGCTTTAAATTCACAACAAAAGCTGGCAGGAGAAATCGGCAGGGCAGCCACCCAAAATGTAAGTCAGCTTTATTGTTATAGTAGCTGGATGCACGGAGCAGCAGAACAATGAGCCCCAAAGGATGAGTCCAGCTGTTTATGCCTAAGCCTTGTTCTTTCATCATTTGCCACCAAACCAGTCAGAGTACCAAAAGATGTTTCCCCTACCCTCAGCTTTCAGAGTGGCATTTATCTCTAAAGGTCTTGGTGCTGGTTCAATGTGCTGCTATCTGTCAGTGGTAAAAATGCGTAACCCTTTTCACTGCACACAGTTTGATATGTCATATCAGCAAAGCAGGTACATGTGTAAGCATGGTTAGCTTAATGAATCCTTTGTGTAGTGATTCATAGTAATGTGGTTTTCCTCCTCGTGACAGCGAAAAAAAGGTCAAAATGTACTGACGGAAAAGGTTTCCACTGTTTGTCTGGAGCATGCTAAGGTAAGTCTGCAGTAGAAATGAAGTCAAACTGAAGGTTAGACGCAGCAGCAGTAAGATCAGATAATGTGATTATTGAACCCTGTAGAAATAAACAAGTCACTATTTAAAGCTCGTGCGAAAACCGTTCTGGGCAGCCGCAACAACAAACTGTGCCAATAAGTTTTGAGGTGATAGTATAGCCAAGAAAAAACATTTCAGTGATTCAGTGTCTGTTACTGGGACGGCTGCCCATCCAAAACAACCAATAACTTTCTCTTAGTGTGAATAACACCACAGACCTGAATGTTCTTTCTGCCGTTAATTCTTGAAATCTTTATCACCCGTACTAAGTATCCCACCAGGCTTTTATTATTGGATGTTCATTATTATTATTATTATCATTAGAATAGACAGGGCATTGTCACATCTTACGTCACTTACAAACATAAGGAACATATAAAAAGACATGTATGCATTCAGAATACAAAGGAATATTGGGGGCTAGGTGGCTAACCTCACTATTTTTGGGCCTTTCTGCCTTTATTTGAAGAACAGCCGAAGAGAGTCAGGAAATGTTTATTGTATTTTTTATGGATGTGCACAGTATTGATTTACTATTCAAAGTACTAACAGGCAAAACAGCCTGAATAGTGAATTTTAACTCAAGTCCCGCCTCTGACAATGCAAATACAAAATCATATTTTGGGTGGCACATTGGGTGGCCAATCAGATTGGACATATGGTGCATTCATGTGGTGTCGGACACATCGAAAAAATTAGTTTCCGATTTGTACAATGCACATGAATGCCAACCCGGAAACTCTGAAAATAATTAGGTGCCTGACATGTCGACTTGATGTCATAATCGTCATTGCATGGGGGGCAAAATATGTTTTGATAATGTTAAGATACTTTTGATTGATTCACATCTTGCACATCAACTTTTTTGCTGGAACATAACATTGTTACAGAGACATTCACACATCTTCTTCGCAGCATCCACACTGTTTATTGATGCTGTTACAACATTACGACTTGCGGAACTGAAATCATGTGAACACACTGAAGTCGGAAGAGTTACCAACCTGGAAATCGGGGCCATCCGAGGAGCACATGAAAGCAGCAATAGTCCCGAACGTTTGCCAAAATCACATGACCCCTTATATCCTTCAATCAGCACAGTTGTGTGTGAGTTACTCTGAGCTTTGGAGAGACTCACACGTTTATACATGTTATCGACCAATTCTCTTTTGGCAATTGTTCTTATTGGCTGTTAACTAGAGTGTGAATTCCTTTGATAAACGTTCCAGTCCTACACTGACCACACTGACCAGCTCAGACCACAGCACAGTTAATGTGTCTGTCTGTTCTTCTTTATTACTAGAAGAAGTCAAATGGGGTTGTGGAGCCTACAGCACTGCAGTCTTACTTTCTGATTCCCCCTTACCTTTTTCTGTATTCACACTATTTCTTATGTATTCTCTTTCCAATGTCTGCTCTGTTGTAACATCCCTACCTTAATCTCAGTCCATCCTAGTTTTGTTCTGACATTTCCCTCCCTCTCTCTCTCTCTCTCTTTTCTCAGTGCCTGGATGATGCCTGGCCTAATCCTGCTGCATAGACTCAGAGGATCCCCCTCAGTCCCCGGACACCTCAGTGCTACAGATTTGGCTCCTTGAGTCATCCAGCTCCTCCTCTGCAGTCATCAGTCGCTGATCAATCCTTTATCACTCCCTCTGTTCATGCTTTTCTTTTCCATACCATGGTTTCAGACTGGGATTATCCACTGATCTGTACCAAATCCTGATATGCTTAATGAGTCTGTTGTGGACGTCTGACGGCAATGTCAAAACTCACCCACATACGTATGTGACAAGAGGTGTACTGTCATTTTCCATTCTTCTTCTTTCTTGATTTTTTTTGCTGTGCTGGTTATAATCCAAAGCCATAGCTCTTTTGTCGCTGTGAAGAAAACTGCTTGATATGAGGATTTCTGAGACCAAAAAGACTGAAAACTACAGCCATATTTATGCTCAGCTAGTTTATAATAGACCTGGACTGTGGAAGGAAAGCTTCTCTCATGTGGAGGTTTTAACAGAAGTCGTTGGACACTGTGATAAGAGAGGACTGCTTTGTCCTCAGTCTGGAAAGTTTAGCTGTGTGCAATCCACAGACATTTTCTATCTTTGTAACCTGGTCTGAGCTGCCCAGTCTAGAGCAGCCTGCTTTCCAGATGCTGCCATGCCCATCATCAGCAACGCCAACCATGACTTCAGCAATCTGTCTGTCAGCGACGACAGCAGTCTTGACCACATCTTCACAGAGATACCCGAGACTGAGACCATCAAGGTAGGAATCTGCATTTCTTCTTTCCATTGTTATCATTCAAATCAGACGGGGTACACAGCTTAGACTAATAACAGATTTTTGTTATTTAGCTGCTTGTGTTAAATTTTTTTTTTAATGTTTACTCTCCAGGGTGCGTATTACAAGAGGGCTCAACTCATCCGTCGGCCAGAGGACTTGGTGTCCATCGACCACGCTCTGCTGGCTTTGATCAACGTCGGGGGAAACCGCTACACCTTCCCCTGGAGCACCCTGGAGCAGTTTCCCCTTACACGTCTTGGCCGTCTCTGTGGCTGCCGGTCACCTGAGGACATTGCCAGAGTCTGCGACGACTACGACGAAGCCCACAAGGAGTTCTTTTTCGACCGCTCGCCCTCCGCCTTCAGGGTCATCCTCAATTTCCTGGCCGCCGGGAAACTGCGCCTGCTGCGGGAGATGTGCGTTCTTTCCCTGCACGACGAGCTGACATACTGGGGCGTGGAGATGACGTACATGGAGCGCTGCTGTAAGAGGAAGATGTACACACGCATAGAGGAGGTGAACGAGCTGGAGCGGCGCGAGGAGGAGTGCAGGCAGAGGAACGCCATGCAGCGTGTACCTGTGGAAGAGACCAGGTATCGAAAGGTGATGAACTGGCTGAGAGATACGGTGGAGAATCCGCAGTCTGGCTTACCGGGGAAGATCTTTGCCTGCATGTCAGTGATCATGGTTGCAGTGACCGTTGTCAGCTTGTGTATCAGCACCATGCCAGACCTGAGAGAGGAAGAAGAAAGGGTGAGTGAACCTGAGAGTTTGCATGCTGTGAATGTAGCGTTAAGCAGCACAGGGCCTTTGACCAATGGCAAACTGATACCAATCAATCAGTAATATCACTTAAACTTGAACAGGGAGCATACATTCAAGGTTTGTCTTAAGATGCCTACAGCGACCCTGTCTGTCAGTAAGATTTATCATGAGAGGTGTGAGTGATTACAGCAGACTCTTTTCAGTTTTTCCCTTCTCAAAAAACAGAATACCAACAACACATACATTGTCATTTGTATCGCAAAAAGTCAAAACAAATTTTATCTCAAGACACTTGATGAAAAAAAGCAAATCCAGACTGTACACTTGCTTTTGTTATTTATAAAGATACAACATTAATCCATCATAAACCAAGCACTTGGCAACATCGGAAGTACACGCTGCCTTTTAACAAGCTGAAACCTTGAGCAGAACCAGACTCATGTTGAACAGCCATCTGCTGAGATTAGGGCTTCCAGGAAGAGAGATACAAAATGAAAAACAAACAGCAACAACAACATCATGAATAAAACAGATTTATGGCTTTAATGCCTGAAAAAATAGAAAAAGTGCATGCATGGAAAACCAAATATGATAATTAACTGATTCATCTAATGTATATCAACATAAAGACAATGAAAGGGGGAGGGGCACTGAGAATACTACCTTGTGGGCACATCTGTTGGCCTTGCGGTTAGTTTGCGCGCTCCATGTTCAGAGGCTGTTGTCCTTGGAGTAAGTGGCCCGGGTTTCCAGTTCGGCCTGTGGCTCCTTTCTAGCATGTCATTACCCACTCTCTCTCTCTCTCCTGTTTTACGACTTCAAAAAATACATAAAAAAATACATCTTTAATATCAATAGTTGTAGCAGTTGGAGTCGTGTAGACCTATAGCAGCTGGCCGTCGGCAGCAATGATCCAGAGGAATGGACAAGACACGGGAGCTCAGGGACTCCTGTCAAGACATATGGTTATCAACAATGGTGTATGAAGATTTAAAAATAGTGACATGCAGTATTAGAAATAATGCATACAGATAGAGAAAGCGAGGGAGATGGGAGACAGAAGCCTAGAGCAGCATAGCTAGGGGGCTGGTACAAGCCTCAGTTTGGTAAGGTAAACCCTGAACTTGCCTGGTTTCTACAGCCAACCGTACTAACCTTAATTTGGTAAGCGGATTGTAAGCCAGATGGAGCTAGCCGCTTCAGCTGTAATAGTGTGACATCATAGCAGCCAACACAGTGCAGCCCGCTATTAAGTAAGTTAAACGTTCAAGAAGAACAGGGACACAGTAAACAAGGGACCCTTTAGCACCCTTGGTACCCGAGCTGTACCGGACCGCTTGATGGAGCCGGTGTAAGCTTTATCAGAATGAAAGATTTTAAGCCTACACTTAAAAGTAGAGAGGATAACTAACTCCTGGACCCTGACCAGCAAATGATTTCAAAGGAGAGGGGCCTGATAACTGAAGGCCATAGTACTTTTAGAGATTAAGCCCCCCTTGTCGGCCTGTATTCTGGGAGTGCAATGTTCTTGAGGGGTAATACACCACTATTCTTTTCAGCTCTTTAAGTTAATGGTGTCTAAGACCTTTGAAGGTGAGCAGAAGAATTTTATAGGAAGTCAGTGCAGGGGAGCTAATATAGGAGTGATGTGATCCTTTTTGTTCTAGTTCTAGTCTGTGTCATTACACAGTCCTCATAGGTCAAAGTTGATGCTTATTGGACAGTGGTTTTTGAAATATAACATTGACTTTATCACTGATGTCAGTATTAATAAGTGAGAAAAAGTATGTGTAGGGGCCTTTTTTTATTCATTTCTGACCAATGAAGGAATTGTGATGCTGCAAAAAGCTGGGCTTCAATCTGCTCAAATGTAAAAATCCTTGTCGTCACACCCTCTTAAACATCCCTGTGTGTGTGTGTGTGTGTGTGTGTGTGTGTGTGTCTTAGCCTTTCATGTCCTGTGATCTGTATCTACCCATAGCAGCGTGGGATAATGAAGTCAGAGCTGCTCACTGAGGCCTGTTCAGTATCTGTCAGTAAACATGGGGGATAATGAAATGGGCTTACTGTATTTCAGACAAAAGACAAAAAAAAAAATGACAGCACCAGCAGACACACTTCCAGTTGCAATAATGTGCAGGCGTAAAGCACACACATGCTTGCACTGGAGTCACATGCCTACACACACACACACACACACACACACACACACACACACACACACACACACACACACACATGCTGACAGTAACATGCACATACAATAGTAATGAACTCATCCACTGTAACTGATACGGTTCTCACTGAATTTTGCACCCTTTTCCTCTCGAGTCTGTTCTCCCTTCTTAACTTAAATCTTACTGCAGCACATCCCCTGTTTGCTTTTGATCGCTGGCTCTTGAATTGGAAATGGAATACATGTACAGTGAGCTTTGTATGCAAAGACAGACAGGTTTGCTGCAGGAAAACTCTCTGCAGCTGTTCAACAGCTGCTGAGAAGTTGCCAGCGGCAGCACCCCTGCATTGATTTTGATATGAGCAGTCATAGGCAGCCAAAACGACCGTGTGCAGGGGGGTGTGATCGTGGAGAATTTAGAAGGTGGAGGAGAGCGACGGTCACAGAATGCTTGATGAGTTGGACCTGAATGACTGACTGTGTCTCACAGACCTTTTGAAGCATACTATAAGACTAATGTATAGCTCATAGGAAAACAAGCACAAAGAAGCCAGATGCTACCGTGGTTATATTTTCATTCTCTGACAGCAGTGGCAAGGTTCACAAAAAAAGAATAAGATAGCAGCATTCACAAGACATCACATTTCTACGCTGCAGACACAGAGTACGAGGGTTGCAGAATGCAGAAGGATTGTATTTCCTGATGTATAGCTTTACTATTTCAGTTGTGATCTGAACAGGAAATTGGGCTTTCCTGCTTGTAAATCTATCCGGTCCTCATAGGTGCAAAGAAGGTGGAGCTCCACTGGAGACAACAAGCTGTCCTCCCTCGGGTCACACACACACACACGCACGCACACAGGCACACACACACTCACACACACACAGTTGCCATCATCACCTTGTATCGATTTCCTGGCAGCAGAGTGTTTCAGGGAAAATAAAGTTTTGTGAAACTGTATACTGCTGTGTGTTTCTGTGTGCATGCTGTTAGGTGTGGATGACATATCCAAGCCTTGTGAGGACACGGTGGCTTGCAAGGATATTGTATTTATGGTGTTACACTGCCTGGTAGGGCTGAACAATTCAATAGTGTTGAGGATGGAAGACTTTTCTGGTTTGTTGTGAACCTATACCTGCAGGTTTCTTGCAGTGGTGAATCTAGAGTCTGTAGCCTTGGGCAAAAATCAACTAGGGGGGGCCTCCAACCAGTGTTCATCACCACTCCATCATGTCTGCCAGTGTCCCGATGCTTTCTCCTCTTCTTTTATTTCCTGATTTGTACATTTTGGGCCAGTTTGGCTTGGTTTCAGTTTGTGAGCCCTCAGGGGCCCCCTACTGGTCTGGGGCCCTAAGCGGTTGCCTGTCTTGCCTGTTGACTGGCAGCACCTCTGGTTTCTTGTTTCCAGGAATAATCTACGATTAAAGTGCTCGTTAATGTTTAATGTTTTTGGCTACATATATGAACCATTAACGGGGCAGATGTACTGCTGATTGCTAACCTTTTATCGCCACTTTTATCTGTGTGTGTGTGTGTGTGTGTGTGTGTGTGTGTGTGTGTGTGCGCGTGTGTGTGTGTGTGTGTCAGAGGGCTGGATGCAGTTTGTGATGAAAGTAGGAAAGGGCTCAGATTTGATTAGAAAATGACTGAAAGACCCAAATAATAACAAAGTATCTTTTTGTTTGATTGAATTGATTTACAGAAAAAGACACTGCACTCATCTGCTTTAATGTCATTTTTTAAAAATAAAAATAAAAAGGCCTATTGCAAAAAGAAAAAAGTGCAAAACCAGTATTTTTTCACATATCGTTCAGCTCTACTGCCTGTGTTGTACATAAAGAATATCTGTGCAGGTGTGTGTGTTGTTCTTTTGTGTTAGTGTCTCTTCCTTGTGAGGACACTGTGTATTAGAAGGACATATTCGGTGTGTATGTGTTCATCCAAGCATCTCTTTGCATGTCGATGCTCCTTCTTGGAAATAGAAGGGCAGCTGGCCGCAAAAGTAAACAAATCCATCTGCTGCCCTCGTGTTTTTCTCCCTGCATGCTCCTGAGTTTCAAACTATTCTCATGTGTTTGACTACTGAACTCAAACGGCAGAGTTCGTCTAAGCCTGGGCATGAGCAGCAGGACCGCTGTCATCTTTAAAAATCACATGGCCCTGCTGTTTGTCTCTGTCCCTGTCTGCTGTGTGCGGGAGTGCGGGCCAAAATTCCCTCGTCCAATCATCATTCACCTCGCTATCTTCCTGCCTCGGTTTGGGTTAGGGGTGTGAAAGGAAAGATAAAGCAAAGAGGAAGATGGAAAGGGAGGACAAATAAAGGATATGTCTGTGAGGGAAAGCGAGAAAATGAGAGATGGAGTGAGAAATATGCTTCAGGGAGTGAATTAAAAAGCGAGAATGGATGAGAATGAGTTTTTGGTGAGAAAAAACAAGAGATAAAAATTGCCTCATTTCCCCATTATGCCTATCTGGATGTAATGTATTTCCACATGTCCTCAGTTGTCCCCTCTATCAAACAGCACATCACTGCGAACTAAACGCTCTGGGAGGGGCCTTTATCTCACAGCTCAGTTTCGGGCCCACTGATAATAACTCCTCCATCACTCCTCCATACTCGGCAACGGGTGTGCATCTCTCTGCTGTATAAGTGCTCTGCTCTTTATGATAAAACTCTCAATTTAAATCTGCAGACACTATTATTATTCCTTCAGGCTGTGTACAGTTGCAGCATTTTGACGGGAAGCACAGCCTCCCTTAATGGGGTTCAGAAATGCAAATAGATGCATGAAATATTGATATAAAATCAAG